TACAAATGTGGTAGCTGAGAAGCCTGCAGAATCTGAAATAAACTAAGGGTTGGTATGAGGATGTATATATTAATATAAGTGTGGGAAGCAAGGTTCATCTTCTATATATTCCGGCCTGATCTCATGTTGGTGACAATTGTAGATATTGCATCCTTGCTTCCCAAACAGAATTTTTATGGCCACAAGGAAGTGTGAGTTCCTACATTTAATTACAACATATGGTGAGTTACAACATGCTCTGCTGCTGGTTTTAAAACACTTGAGAAGTAATTGGGGGATTGTCCATTGGTAGATATTTAATTGCCTCAGGGCTGCAGAAGAGGTGTTGCCACAAGCTGGTTTCACAATGAAAAGCCACCTCTGGGATGCAATAGATTAGGCTGGCCTGCTTTTCTTGGGCAAAGACAACATGAACTCCAGCCTGCCTTCGTAATGAACTGCTCTTTCATCTTTATTTTTTGCTTTCTTGGCTGGATCTTAAAAGAAAAAGTCAAATTTTAAAAGAAATGGTACTTAAATTGGAAGTTGGCTGCCCACTACACAGGGAGGGCATATGTGGCATTCTATTAATGACCTATCATGTGCATATTTTTTATTTGAATTCCTATAAGTGGCTGCCCTTTTCCTAAATCTCCTTATTTATTCAATTACAATTTTATCCCCTAAATATACGAGACACTAAGGGTTTTAAGTTTCATCTTTTAAAAAAATATTACATATTTCTTATTGGATATTTAAAATAATATTTTGAGTTTACGTTAATATACTATTTTCCATTTGAGCCATGTTGACTTTCTTAAAGAATTTCAAGATAAAACTTATATCTACATTTGCACTATAATGTGAATTCATGATTTTCAACTCACTTGAAATACTAAATTTTTAATTGAGTTGATTTTTTTTGTAGACTAATTTTATGTGTAATTGAAATGTTTCTTTTATAGATACTTTAGTACATTTTGTTGCCATGGATTCATTTCTCACATCTAATTCCTAACCCTGGAAAAGTAATTTTTAAAAATTAGCACAGAACATTTCTTTTTAGATGAGTCTTAAAACCTTTCCAGTTCCACATTGCTTTCTGTTGAAAGGAGAAGTTGTGTTTTAGAAAGACACAATTGATCTCCATGATGTCAGCTTCAAAAATCAATCAGCCTAAATAAGGAACTAGGGCTTCATGGAGAAAGGCTAATTTCAAGATTGTGGCAGGGAAGGTACATGATAAGCCTGGGGTTTTTGTGTGTCAGAAAGTAAGGAAGTGCTCAAACGATGATCAGTGTGCGTCAAAATGACTCAGAAGCCAGCTTGAATGAATTCCAACTGGTATCCCAATTCAAATCTGGGATAATTTCAGCAAGAGTGAGAGGGAGAAATTAATTAATTATAAATAAATGAAATAACAATTCACAGGTCCAAATTCATAATAACTAAATAAAGAAGAAGAAAAAGCTGTTTTTTACAGCAAAATGTTGACTGATAGATAAGACAAATAGATAAAAGTAGAGTTAGAAAATTACCATTTTGTACCCATCACAGTGTAACTGATTCTGGCTAGAATGATCAATAAATGCCAGATCTAGCAGAAGGAATTTTGATGAAGAACAAGTTATATACCCAGTCTCAAAATATGACTCCACAAGTTAATTAATAGTATGAGGGAAAATAATGTAGAAGTGGAAAAACATCTTACTTAACCAAGTAGATCAACACTGATATCATCAACAAGAAGCAAAGGAACACCAAGTACCTCTCTATGTGATAACACAAGCAAGACACAATATCGCTCATGTAGTAATCCAACCAAAAATGGATTATCTCTGTCTAATCATAAGGAGGCAGCAGAGAAACCCAAATCTTAATAGGTATAATCTATGAAATAACTGACCTGTATTAATCGTAAATGCCAATGGCACAAAAGACAAAAAAATATTGAGAAACTGCTTTAAATTAAATGAGTCTAAAGAGACAGGACAACTAAATGCAATATGTAATCCTAGACAGTATCCTGAACTGGACCAAGATTCTTTAAATAATATTTTGGGAAAAATTAAGGAAATTAAAATGAACTTCAAACTATTCTATCAATGTTAAATGTCCTGAGTTTTAAAAATATTTGATAATTATACATTTAATAATTATACTGTAGTCATGTTAAGGGAAAAAATTTGTTCTTATGTAATATAAACTGAAATATTAAAGGATAAAGAGGCATGATATGTGCACCTACTCATATAGTTTAGAAAAAAATGTGTATTTTTTAAATGTGTAATATATTTAAATAGACATAGATAAGACAAAGCAAATGCTAAAACTTGAAAAATATGAGTAAAGACTTTTTCTATTTAAGTGTTCTTTGTACTGTTCTGGCAATGTTTCTGTAAGTTTGAAATGACTTCAAACACAAAAATAAAAATAGGAGACAACCAGCCGAATTACTTTTGTGAATGCTTAATATAGCCTAATTACTCTGAAAAACAAAAAGGTATTAAGAGATATAGAACTACCCATTAGAACTTTAAAATCTATGTGCTGTCCAAACAAGACGAAAGAAAAGAAAGAAAAAGAGAGAAAGAAAGAAAGAAAGAAAGAAAGAAAGAAAGAAAGAAAGAAAGAAGGAAGGAAGGAAGGAAGGAAGGAAGGAAGGAAGGAAGGAAGGAAGGAAGGAAAGAAAGAAAGAAAGGCCTTTAAATCTTGTTGAGAATAGTATGTTAGCATATAAAACAATTAAACGAATTAATCTTTGTTTTTTTTTTTTGAGACAGAGTCTCACTCTTGTTGCCCAGGCTGGAGCGCAATGGTGTGATCTCGGCTCACTGCAACCTCTGCCTCCTGGGGTTCAAGCAAGTATACTGCCTCAGCCTCCCGAGTAGCTGGGATTACAGGCATGCACCACCATGCCCAGCTAATTTTTATTTTTAGTAGAGACGAGGTTTCTCCATGTTGGTCAGGCTGTTCTCAAACTTCCGACCTCAGGTGATCCACCCACTTCGGTCTCCCAAAGTGCTGGGATTACAAGCATGAGCCACCGCACTCGGCGTTTTTTTTTCTTTTAGACAGAATCTTGCTCTGTTGCTCAGGTTGAGGCACAGTGGCGTGATCTTGGCTCACTGCATCCACCATCTCGCAGGGTGAAGCAATTCTCCTGCCTCAGCCTTCCCAGTAGCTAGGATTACAGGGGCCATTCCACTGCACCTGGCTAATTAAATGAATGATTTTTAAGTAATAAATCAGTTATTTATTACTGTTTATTCATACAAGTTATGGAATAAACCTATGCAAGTTAGGAATGTATTTATTTATCCTAACTTTCTAACTTTCTTTGTGAAGTCATGTAGACTCAATTTATTATCTGGACTTTACCCCCACCCACCCCTCATTTGTCCGTGTAATAGAAAAGCATTGCCCTAGGATTCAGGATATATAGTGCCTTGCTCATCTCTGTCATTTAAGAGTTGTTTGACTTTGCCAAGTCACTTGACTTCTGTGGACTCAGTTTCTTCACCTGTGAAATAAGAAAGATGAACTCAAAAATCTTTGAGCCCTTTCAACTTTAAAGACCTACAATGCCACATGGGATGAAAACCATAAGAGCTAATGAAAATAGCTATATATGTTAAATTTCCTTTGGTGATTTATGGTTAGGATGCATAAGCAAATGGTCAGACTTCTATGGAAGCTAGACACTTTGATGGTAAAATCACTTTATATTCCAATGCTGCTTTTATTTCCTCAAGTGTTTCCATACCTTTAATATGATTTGACATTCTAGCAAAGCTGCTGTGACATAAGTAGGGCATATATCATCAACTTCATTTTTCAAAAAACAAAACTGAGGCACTGAGAGATTACTTACCTTTATGTCTTTTTTTTTTTTTTTTTTTTTTGAGACAGAGTCTTGCCCTGTCACCCAGGCTGGAGTGCAGTGGTAGTATCTTGGCTCACTGCAACCTCCGCTTCTGGGTTCAAGCAATTCTTCTGTCTCAGCCTCCTGAATAGCTGGAACTTCAGACATGCACCACCATACCAGGCTAATTTTTGTATTTTTAGTAGAGATGGTGTTTCACCATATTGTTCAGGCTGGTCTTGAATTCCAGACCTCAGGTGATCCACCGGCCTTGGCCTCCCAAAGTGCTGGGATTACAGGCAGAGCCACGGCACCCAGCCTCTGACTTTTTTTGGGGCCCCTTTAAAATAGTATTTAGTTGAGGCCTGGCTACCTTTATGTGTTTAAACAAATTAATATTTGTTTCTTGATCTATCAACTCAGAAATCTGGATTCATCATCCCGTAAAACAAGAAAACTAATGCCCCACATACTCCTTCTGTCTCTCTTCTATGTGCATTTCCCAACTTTTTACATTGTCAATATTTCTGTCAGTTGGGTTCTGTTCTCAATGGCTGATTATTCTGTTCTTTGACAATAGGTTGATTAATGTACTTTTTTAAGTAAAAAGATTTTGCACTATTATAATGTGAATATTATAAGGCACAAGTAGCATGATTGGACCCATAAAGAAGGAGATATATAACTGTGTGTTAATAAACCTGTACTAATTAAGGAAAAAATGCTAAGGGCAGCCAGAGAGAAAGGTTGGTAACCCACAAAGGGAAGCCCATCAGACTCACAGTGGATCTCTTGGCAGAAACCCTACAAGTCAGAAGAGAGTGGGGACCAATATTCAGCATCCTTAAAGAGAAGAATTTTTGGGAACTGGGTGTGGTGGCTCATGCCTGTAATCCCAGCACTTTGGGAGGCTGAGGCAGGTGGACCACAAGGTCAGGAGCTTGAGACCATCCTGGCCAACATGGTGAAATCCTGTCTCTACTAAAAATACAAAAAAATTAGCTGGGCGTGGCGGTGCATGCCTGTAGTCCCAGCTACTTGGGAGGCTTAGGCAGAGAATTGCTTGAACCCAGGAGGCAGAGATTGCAGTGAGCCCAGATCGCGCCATTTCACTATAGCTTGGGTGACAGTGTGAGACTCCATCTCAAAAAAAAAAAAGAATTTTCAACCCAGAATTTCATATCCATCCGAACTAAGCTTCATAAGCAAAGGAGAAGTAAAATCCTTTACGGGCAAGCAACTGCTAAGCAAGTTCTTAACGACCTACAAAGAGACTTAACTCCCACACAATAATAGTGGAAGACTTTAACACCCCACTGTCAATATTAGATCAATGAGACAGAAAATTAATAAGGATATCCAGGACTTGAACTCAGATCTGGACCAAGCAGACTAATAGACATCTTCAGAACTCTTCACCCCAAAATCCACAGAATATACACTCTTCTCATCACCACATCACACTTATTCTAAAATTGACCACATAATTAGAAGTAAAACACTCCTCAGCAAATGCAAAAGAATGGAAATCATAACAAACAGTCTCTCAGACCACAGTGCAATCAAATTAGAACTCAGGATTAAGAAACTCACTAAAAACTTCACAACTACATGAAAACTGAACAACTTGCTCCTGAATGACTACTGAATAAATAATGAAATGAAGGCAGAAATAAAGATGTTTTTTGAAACCAATGAGAATGAAGATACAACATACCAGAATCTCTGGGAGACATTTTAAAAGGTGTGTAGAGGGAAATTTATAGCACTAAATGCCCACAAAAGAAATGAGGAAAGATCTAAAATTGACACCTTAATATCACCATTAAAAGAACTAGAGAAGCAAAATCAAACAAATTCAAAAGCTAGCAGAAGACAAGAAATAACTAAGATCAGAGTAGAACTGAAGGAGACAGAGATACAAAAAAGCCCTTCAAAAAATCAATGAATCCAGGAACTGGTTTTTTGAAAAGATCAACACAATAAACCACTAGCAAGACTAATAAAGAAGAAAAGAGAGAAGAATCAAATAGATGCAATAAAAAATGATAAAGGTGATATCACCACTGATCCCACAGAAATACAAACTACCATCAGAGAATACTATAAACACCTCTATGCAAATAAGCCAGTAAATCTAGAAGAAATTGATAAATTCCTGGATACTTGCACTCTCCCAAGATTAAACCAAGAAGAAGTTGAATCCCTGAATAGATCAGTAACAAGGTCTGAAATTGAGGCAGCAATTAATAGCCTATAACCAAAGAAAGTCCAGGACCAGACAGGTTCACAGCCAAATTCTACCAGAGGTACAAAGAGGAGCTGGTACCATTCCTTCTGGAACTATTCCAAATTATAGAAAAAGGAAATTCTCCTTAACTCATTTTATGAGACCAACATCATCCCGATACCAAAACCTAGCAGAGACACAACTAAAAAAGAAAGTTTCAGGCCAATATCCATGATGATCATCCATGTGAAAATCCTCAATAAAATACTGGCAAACCAAATACAATAGCACATCAAAAAGCTTATGCATCACAATCTAGTCGGCTTCATCCCTGGGATGCAAGGCTAGTTCAACATATGCAAATCATTAAACATAATCCATCACATAAACAGAACCAAAGACAAAAACCACATGATTATCTCAATAGATGCAGAGAAGGCCTTCACCAAAATTCAGCAGCCCTTTATGTTAAAAACTCACAATCAACTAGGTATTGATGGAACGTATCTCAAAATAATAAGAACTATTTATGGCAAACCTACAGCCAATATCATACTGAATGGCAAAAACTGGAAGCATTCCCTTTGAAAATCAGCACAAGACAAGGATGCCCTCTCTCACCACTCCTGTTCAACATAGTACTGGAAGTTCTGGCCAGGGCAATCAGGCAAGAAAAAGAAAGAGTATTCAGTTAGGAAAAGAGGAAGTCAAATTGTCTCTATTTGCAGACGACATGATTGTATATTTGAAGACCCCATCGCCTCAGCCCAAAATCTCCGTAAGCTGATAAGCAACTTCAGCAAAGCCTCAGGATATAAAATCAGTGGGCAAAAATCACAAGCATTCCTATACACCCATAACAGACAAACAGAGAGCCAAATCATGAGTGAACTACCATTCACAATTGCTACAGATACTTAGGAATGCAACTAACAAGGGATGTGAAGGACCTCTTCAAGGAGAACTACAAACCACTGCTCAAGGAAATAAGAGAGGACACAGATGGAAAAACAATATTGTGAAAATGGCCATACTGCCCAAAGAATTTATAGATTCAATGCTATCCCCATCAAGCTACCATTGACTTTCTTCACATAATTCGAAATAACCACCTTAAGTTTCATATGGAACCCAAAAAGAACCAACATAGACAAAACAATCCTAAGCAAAAACAAACAAAAAACAAAACAAAACAAAAAACAAAGTGAAGCTGGAAGCATCATGCTACCTGACTTCAAACTATACTGCAAGGCTACAGTAATCAAATAAGCATTAAAAAAAAGAATTTTCGCCGGGCGCGGTGGCTCAAGCCTGTAATCCCAGCACTTTGGGAGGCCGAGGCGGGTGGATCACGAGGTCAAGAGATCGAGACCATCCTGGTCAACATGATGAAACCCCGTCTCTACTAAAAATACAAAAAATTAGCTGGGCATGGTGGCGCGTGCCTATAATCCCAGCTACTCAGGAGGCTGAGGCAGGAGAATTGCCTGAACCCAGGAGGCGGAGGTTGCGGTGAGCCGAGTTCGCGCCATTGCACTCCAGCCTGGGCAACAAGAGCGAAACTCCGTCTCAAAAAAAAAAATAAATAAATAAATAAAAATAAAAAAAGAATTTTCAACTCAGAATTCAACATCCTTAAAGAAAAGAATTTTCAACCCAGAATTTCTGGTACCGAAACAGAGATATAGACCAATGGAACAGAACAGAGGCCTCAGAAGTAGTGCCACACATCTACAACCATCTGATCTTTGACAAACCTGACAAAAACAAGCAATGGGGAAAGAATTCCCTATTTAATAAATGGTGCAGAGAAAACTGGCTAGCCATATGCAGAAAGCTGAAACTGGATCCCTTCCTTACACCTTATAAAAAAATTAACTCCAGATGGATTTAAGATTTAAATGTTAAGACCTAACACCATAAACACCCGAGAAGAAAACCTAGGCAATACCATTCAGGACATAGGCATGGGCAAGGACTTCATGACTAAAACATCAAAAGCAATGGCAACAAAAGACAAAATAGGCAAATGGGATCTAATTAAACTTCAGAGATTCTGCACAGCAAAAGAAACTATCATTAGAATGAACTGGCAACCAGCAAAATAGGAAAAAACTTTTGCAATCTACCCATCTGACAAAGGGCTAATATCCAGAATCTACCAAGAACTTAAAGAAATTTACAAGAAAAAAATAACTCCATCAAAAAGTGGGTGAAGGATATAAACAGACGCTTTTCAAAAGAAGACATTTATGCAGCCAACAAACATATGAAAAAGTGCTCACCATCACTTGTCATTAGAGAAATGCAAATCAAAACCACATTGAGATACCAGTTAGAATGGCGATCATTAAAAATGTCAGGAGACAACAGATGCTAAAGAGGATGTGGAGAAACAGGAATGCTTTTACACTGTTGGTGGGAGTGTAAATTAGTTCAGCCATTGTGGAAGACAGTGTGGAGATTCCTCAAGGATCTAGATCTAGAAATACCATTTGACCCAGCAATCTCATTATTGGGTATAAACCCAAAGGATTATAAATCATTCTGTTATAAAGACACATGCACACGTATGTTTACTGTGGCACTGTTCACAATAGCAAATACTTGGAACCAACCCAAATGCCCATCAGTGATATACTGGATAAAGAAAATGTCACACATATACACCATGGAATAATATGCAGCCATAAAAAGGCTGAGTTTATGTCCTTTGCAGGGACATGGATGAAACTGGAAACCATCATTCTCAGCAAACTGACACAAGAACAGAAAACCAAACACCGCATGTTCACACATGGACACAGGGAGGGGAACATCACACACTGGGGCCTGTTGTGGGGTGGGGGGCTAGATGAGGTATAGCAGGGGGGTGGGGGTAGTGGGCTAGGGGAGGGATAGAATTAGAAGAAATACCTAATGTAGATGATGGCTTGATGGATGCAGCAAACCACCATGGCACGTGTATGCTTATGTAACAAACCTGCAACGTTCTACACCTGTATCCTAGAACTTAAAATATATATATGTATGTATGTATATATATATATAACCTGTACTAGTTGAAGTGTCAAGGTCAAATGGATTCTCTTCTTCAATTTATGTAAATATTACACAACTTTATGGGTTTTTTAAATATTTATACCATGATTTCTTTACACATCTTTTCAAGAATTTGAATTTCTAATTCACCTTTTTTGTGGGCAGAATTATAATATGCCTCTAGCTTTCATCTTGTCAAAGATCATCCAGTTTGTAATAAGAATATTTCCTACTTGAATATTTCTATTTGCAACTTACTCTTCAAAGCCCTTTGATTTCTTATTACTGTTTGGACTGTGGATTTTCTATGCTTGCTGGACAGCTCTCATCCAATAATATTTTTCCTAGATTTCTAGGTCAAGTTTACTTTTTTATCGGCTGCCATGATCTTCTTTGTCTTGGGTACTTTTAATTTTTCCTCTGGTATATCCTCAAATAATTGTTTTTCTCAGAAAGTATGCCTGGGAGTTAAGAAAATAAATTCATCTGTCCATAATTCTAGTTTCAAGAGAACTTTCCCTCAGAACAATTAAAGCATTTTCTATGATCCTCTAGCAACCAATTTTGCTGGGAAGGGATTGGCACCAGTCAGATTCTGATCTCTTTAGAGATAATTTGTTTCTTTTCTCACAAAGTTTTTAGGCTTTATGTTTTGACATGGAAAAAGGTGACTAGGTGTACATTTTTAAAAAATTGTGTATTGTTTGGTGATCTCTTTATGCTAAATTGCTTAGTCAACTAAAACAGAGAGGCACCAATTATGGGCCAAGTACCCATAACAGGGGTCTTGGCCCTTTATAGGCAGGTTGTTTGACTTCTTTAGAGAATACGATTTTGGTTTTAGTTTAAACAAGGGTATACATCACCTTTGTGTGTAGATGAGGGAGTAGAGAATGGGGTGAAGGTGGACTTGCACAGCTTTACTGTAAGCGTGAAACCCGTACCCTTGATTTCTGTCTCACTTTCCCCTGGCATTCTTGCCAGTTTCAAGCTTTGAACTTGCAACTTTCTTCTGTTTAATTTCTTGGCTGTGGATTCTCTGGCTTCAATTTATAACAACAAAATCTAACTTTTATTAAGCAGCATTCCAGGAATTGTCCTAAGTGCTTATATTGTGATTAACTTGGCCAATTATCACAGAAACCCTATGAGGTAGCTACAGTCGACTCTATGTATATACAGGGAATTGGTTCCAGGAACCCCACGTCTGCCAAAATCTGTGCATACTCAAGTTTGGCAAATTGGTCCCTCAGGAAATGGCATATACAAAAAGCCTTTATTGTAGGCCAGTTTCGCATTCCACAAATACTGTATTTTTGATCTACCTTTGTTGAAAATCAATCCACATGAAAGTGGACCCATGCAGTTCAAATGCATGTTGTTTAAGGGTCAACCGTCCTATAATTATCCTCATTTTATAATGAGGAAACACAGTTGCTCAAAGTCATACAGGTTATAACCAGCAGAGCTGACATTTGCATCCAGGCAGTCTGTGATCCCATCCTGCAACTATCTTGGAGAAATATATAGAAATCTGTAATTCCTTAATCCTGGGATTTATTATGAACTTATTCTCTTTTATATGCATATATTTAAAATCAGCATTTCATCAGAATGTGAGGTTGAGGGTCCAAGAAGAAAAGTCATGGTGTTCTGTCTGTAACAGTTAATTAAAATTTACCCATAATTTCTTTTTTTTTTTTTGGGACGGAGTTTCGCTCTTGTTACCCAGGCGCGATCTTGGCTCACTGCAACCTCCGCCTCCTGGGTTCAGGCAATTCTCCTGCCTCAGCCTCCTGAGTAGCTGGGATTACAGGCACGCACCACCATGCCCAGCTAATTTTTTTGTATTTTTAGTAGAGACGGGGTTTCACCATGTTGACCAGGATGGTCTCGATCTCTTGACCTCGTGATCCATCCGCCTCGGCCTCCCAAAGTGCTGGGATTACAGGCTTGAGCCACCGCGCCCGGCCCATAATTTCTGAGTGCCAAATTTACCAAGGCCAAATCCAAGTCTAGGCAGTTGCTAAGGCTGTGAGTTTACGCAGCATAATGACCAACAATGAGTAGTCAGAGGCTTACTTTTAATGATCTAAGACTGCTGTAGAAGAAGCTCTCACTGATAGAACTTAAAGATGCAGGTTCCATCTAAAAAACACTCCCTCTGCCCCCATTTCCATCCATGCTTATTTCTCTAATTGGACAGGTCTAGGTAGGACTGGTAGGTAGAAGGAGGCAGACAACCGAAGGAAAGCAGCACTAAAGCTAAAAGAAGGAGAGAGAGAAGAATGAAATTTGTATGGGAATCTAGGCTTGACTCCTGCTTCCTGCTAATTACCAGAAGTCTATAATGAGTCATGTGTTGTTATAGGTGTTCTGTGTATATCATTCGATTGTTTTTTCTTAATGACCTTGTAGCAAAAGTATAGCAAAGGTATTATGCCGATTTTATAGATGAGGACATTAAGGCTCAGAGACATTAAATAATTTACCCAAGGTTACAAAGGTAGTATGTTCATCTGACTTTAAAACCCATGCCAATTCCCCTCTGCCATGATGCCTTTTGACTCCCTATGGCAGCATTTGGAATGGAGCTGGTATTTGTGCATGCTCACCCTCCCTTTCTTTCTCTCAGTACACTCATATACTCATAGACGCACACACACACACACACATGCAAAGAAACACATGAATTAACTAATTGAACCAATATTTCTTGAGCAATATACATACTAGGTATTTGGTAGAGTCTACACTGTCTTCTGTGAGTCAAATCATGCCTTTCAAGCACACAGTAATGAAACTTTCTAAGGGTTGGGGATAGAGGGAAAGTGTGTGGAATCGGTATTCAAATAGGTGGCTTCTTAACGATCAGGACTGGAATTCTTGCACGAGTTCTTTGAAGAAGAGCAACTTTTTCTAATTTGCACTGGGCCTGCAATTCTGACTCTGAAGCTCAGTTCTCTTGAGGTGAGATATTTTGCCGTATTAAGAAGCAAAGCACTTTCTTAGGAGTCCTTATCACCTTATTGTGAATTAACTTGATGAATTTTCTCAAAATGATAGTGTAATAGATCACAAAATGGTCACAAATTACTTATAACCCTCACAATGGGTATGAGTGGGATTGCATACAGGGATATAAGTATGGTCACAAATTACTTATATCCCTTTGCAGTGGGATTTTTGCCAGGCCACCCATCAAAGGTTGAGTTTATTTCTTATCCTTTAATCCTGGGCTTGGCTGGGTAACTTGCTTTGGCCAATGGAACATTGAAAAATATGGTGCAGACTGGACATGGTGATGCATACCGGTAGTCCCAGCTACTTAGGAGGCTGAGGCGGGAACATCCCTTGAGCCCAGGAGCTTGAAGCCAGCCTGGGCAACAAGCTGGACAGACACAGTATCTGGAAAAAAAATGTGCAGAGGCTTGAAAGGGGCTTGCATATAGGGTTTACCTCCTCCTGCTGCTGAGAATGTTTTTGCCACCATGTAAAAGACTTTGAGGATAAGCGAGCATATGAAGAAAAACCTTAAACATACCAGTTTTCCTAGCTGTAGACCCAGATGTGAGAGGGAGGCCACTTTAGGTCATTCAACTTCAAATTGCTGGCCTCATCCAGAAGCACAATCACCACCAAACTGTGAGAAATAGTAAGTGGCTGTCTTAAGTCCCAAAGATTTGTAACATTTTGTTGTGAAGCAGAGGCTACCTGATGTATGTAGCTAGTTGAAGTAGGCTGGGGAAGGGGGAGCAAAGCAAGAAGGAAGGGAATGGAGTAGAAAGCACCTTGATTATCATTTGTGCAATTTAAGGTCCCTGAATGTTTGAGTAGAGACAGGGCAACCCCTAAGGAGAGAGAAGTACAGAATAGAATGAAGGGAGTACACTAAATACAAAGTTCACCCTTCCTCATGACTGATCTTTTTATAATTTCAAGAAGAAACATCTAGAATGTGAGCACTTTATCCCATGGTCAGGGTTTTGCTGAAATTTGACAAATCAAAAGTGA